TTCTTAGACAAGATGTTGTTTATTAGCCAATCTTCCTTGATGTTCAAATCTGTAAAATGTAAGTATTTCTTCTCTTCTTTGTCCATGGTATTCAGAGAATCTTCCTACAGCATTTCAGCTCAAAAAACCATATTTTCTTTCTTAAGGACACGGAGATAGTCTACAAAGCACATCCGCACGTGCTAAACGGACATTTAATGCTCTCATATATATATATATCTATATATATATATATATATTATATATATATATACTATATATATTTATATATATATATATATATATATATATATATATATATATATATATATATATATATATATTTCACGGTTAATTGTAACTCTTCCAGAACCACATCTCTCACCCATGTTTATCAACTGCTCAGTATATTGTACACATTAGCTAACCTATGTTCTTTGATTTTCTGCTAAGTGTTTAGGACTAAAAGAGTTAATTTTTAGGCTATACATTAGTTACAAAACAATGTTGTTTTAAAAAAAAAAAGGATATGTAGTTGTATGTTAGCTTCAAATACGCATGATGACTACAATGGAATGCCTTACTATTTCCGTGAAAGTCTATTTTAAACATAAGCTAGTCCTGCTTGTCCCACTCGCCATCGACTGTAGTTTCCAGGCCTCTCTGCCACACAATACAAGACTATAGTCTTAAGTACGTTCAAACCCACCAGGCAGCAAAGCGAGCGATTAACACCAGGTGACACAGAGTGCCACCATTCGGATTAGAGTCACCCGGGTACAAGTCCCAGAAACACTTTTTAACCGTTATGTTATTAGGGCCCCTGACAACAGCCAGAGTGAGGCTTTAAAATAACTCCAAACGTATTACTGCGAGAATACTATAGTCCTGAAAGAACGAAAGATGCTAATGTTAGCTCTTCTGAGTTGTTGCGTCTTGAAGAAGCAATTTATAATGTACCTAGACAATTTATTTATTCACAAATATACAATTAAAAGTTAGTTACATATCCTTTACAGGACGTTGCAAAACCAACCCCAACATTTTTTTGGCTATTGTGGTTTTTCTAGGCAAATTTACGTCCAATAATTTGCCATTGCTTGTTGAACAGTCGGCTTCTCGATGCCACTGTCGAAACCAACGCAAGGAGCAAGGCTCGCTTCTAGTATCGAACCCGGCACCCTGGGATTATGAAGCTCGTTCGCAACGCCTAAGCCACAGACGCCGACAAACATACACTTCTTCTTCTTCTTCTTCACTTCCTCTTTTACCGCTGTGGGTGTCGAGGGAGATATAAGGTTCTGTTTCTAGCTCTTCTGGCTGCCTCGACATCGTGCTGTTGTAGAGTTTCTATGATGTTATCCTTCCATATTGTTCTTGGTCTACCCCGTGCTCTACGTCCTTCTTCTCTGTCTATGTATGCTTTGTATGGTATGGTGTCACAAGGCATTCTCTCTAAGTGGGCAAACCATTTCACTTGCTGTCTTTGTATGTAATCCAGAATTGGTTCTGTGCCGACTTGTTCTCTTATGATCTCATTCCTGATCTGATCTCTTATGGTCACTCCTACAGCCCTTCTCAGACATCTCATTTCCGTGGTTACTAATTTTCTGTTATGGTTTGTTGTGAGTGACCATGTCTGGCACTGGTAGCACAGAGTTAAAATAAATATGCTTTGCATAACATGTCTCTTTGTGCTGATTGGGATTGTCTTATGCTTTAAGAGGGGGGCTAGCTGTCCCAATACTTCGTTTGCTTTACTGCATCTAATGTCAATTTCTTTACCCAATTTCCCATCTTCGGTAAATGTAGTTCCCAGATATTTAAACTCAGATGCCTGTTTAATGCCTTTGTATTCTATTGCTATGTTTAGATCTGTCTTCTTTTTTCCTATTGACATTACTTCTGTCTTTTCAGTGTTGATTCTCATATTATTTGTTTTACATTCTTCATTCATGTCTGGAGCATGCACTGTGGGATGCCATCGATCTTCACTAGTGCTCACCCTTTCGACAACCTTTGCGGCCCATTAACCACTAGATAATCTCCGGATGTGGGCCGACCCGGTTCATAACTCGTGGACCTAGGCTACTCCTGCTGCGTTGATCGGGCAAGACATTATGGTTGTTGCAACAGGTACTGAGGTTATGGTGTTTTCGTTGCTAGTGCCAGGTAGCATATTACCCTGCCCCCTGCACGAGCTAGAGAGACAAATGGACATTTAGTTCATCGGACAGACGCTGATCAGAAAGACTTGATTAGCAGGATATAGTCATACTGGACTACCAGGTATACCCAAGCTAAATGTAAACCAAGAAATAGTCTGGAAAGTAAGTGTGGCAGATGTTATCAAGTTCTATTTGTTTTACACAGGTATTAGTAGTCGTGCTCCAATCCCTCTTGTGATGCGGTACAATCGAAATGTTAGCATACAGAAAATTGTACTCTTGTGACCAAATAAAAGTACGAACATCCACACAAGCAAAGACAATGAATGACAAGTCAATCTTGAATATGCAACATTAAAGAATGACAATCAAGATAAGATTGGCAGAAGACAGATTATCATAGATAGCAATGCTATGCAGATACAGCAGTAATAGAACCAGAGGTCGACCGCGCAAATATGGACCGCAGAAATATCAGATACACTGAAACATGTTTTTTACGAAGTGAACAGGTGAAACCGTTCCTAAGATCTCTTCCTGTCCTGACGCCGCGAGGCATTCCAAGAGTAAGAACAATAAGAACCAAGAATGTTTTGAACCATATGACATTTAATCTTCATTTTCATCATCATCATAATCCTCATTATTATCATTCTGCTGTATCATCTAATGCCACATAAGGTAGTCTTCGGTTCAAATCTAACCTGAGCGATTTCATTTTCATATCAAGGTTGGAATCCAGTCATGCATCTTTGATTTTTTTGATGAATATTGGCCTTGAAATTTCATTTGGATGCATTCGTTTGGTTCAATGAATTTGTTTGCCATTTAAATGTCTATTTGTTGATTATCTGTCTGCTTTTTTTCTCACGATCTGCCGGACATTTCCTCGCCCTTTAATTCTTAGCTTCAGAACGGTTGATATGAGCGGTTGTTGAGATAGTCTTTTTTAATCACCTTTCTTGAAACCCCCCCCCCCCCTCCCCCACTCTTCCCCTTTTCCTCTCCCCTCCCCCATTTAACGTTCGTCAGTTTCTTTATGCATTTGTTTCTAATGAATGTGTCATTCATTCCATGTTTTTAGTGGTTCTCGAGCTGTCATGGAAAATATTAAAATTCGAATAACAAAAGAATTAGAAATAGGTAGCTTGGCTTTGAAATATACCTATTTCAGAATTCCATATGATGTTAAACTTTGAATTACTAAAGACAGATGTCGCGAGAGAGAGAGAGTGTGTGTGTGAGAGAGAGAGAGAGAGAGAGAGAGAGAGAGAGAGAGAGAGAGAGAGAGAGAGAGAGAGAGAGAGAGAGAGAGAGAGAGAGAGAGAGAGAGAGAGTCATTGTAACTGCATATAGTACAGAAATCCGTCGCTAAATTCGTGGTTGAAGTTTTATGTTCAATAACGGTTTCCGTTCGCAAGAATTGTTAACCTTCCGAAGCATGATCTACTATGCATGCATACAGGCAATATAATTATTTTATCACAGTATCATCGATTACTGTGTCTGCCTCCCCTTCATGTTTTCTTCTGTGTTCTGCGGAGCTTTTTTACTAGTAATTTTGCTGAGGGCTCCAGTGAGTCTCTACTTTAAAATCCAGGTAATATGTTCAAGGTGTGTCTAAGCCCTTGGGGTAGATGAAGATATTGTCTTACACCTCTCTTCCGCCTACCTTTTCCCTCCGGGAGATACCTAAGTGCTATTTCAATAGAGACTGCCCTGCAAAGATCTATCTCACTTTCTCCATCTGTCTTTATCTCTGTTTATATCTTTATCTCTCGGTCTACTATCCATATCTTTCCTTGTCTTCCTCTGACTCTCTCTCTCTCTCTCTAGACTCAGAAACCAGCCTTATTTGCAAGACCAGCTGTGGAATTTCACACAATCAAAAATGATTTACTTATGTCACAATACATTATATACGACTGCTTGTATTACGTCTAGATCAGAAATATTCTTCTATTCAAGAAACACCACTAAAGAGGTAGCATAAGACCTTTACTTACCATACTACTTATAACGTGGTGGGGGTGGGGCGGGGTGGGGCGGGGGTGGGGGAGTGATTACAGTACATGTTTAAAATACAATAGAAATATAATGGAATGATAACTTTTTATTGAACAAAAGAGATGTTATCGCTAATAATAATTAAAAGGCAATGTTATACATTTCTTCGTATTGTGTATTATTAATATAATTATTACGAAGATAACAATGTACAAACCACATATAAAACCAGCTGTCCCATATGGTAGGCTTACAACTAAAAAAAGATGAAGCCTTATTAGACTTTCTTATAGGAAACATTTAACAAACAAACAATAAATCAATCATTAGGGCTGTGCCCCAACCGACGGTTGCTGCGTTCTTATCTTTACTTTTGTGTTTGTTATTATTACGTATTTTCTCAAAATATCGGTTACGTTATCCTTTTGAAAAATGCCAAGATAACCACAGAGTCTGACATTTGACAAGACTTGCAAGTGTATAGTGAGACAAAGTCACTAAATGCTACAACAGGTTGGACGCCTGCTGGGGAGATAGTCAGCCAGACAGCCTGTGGAAGGGACAAATAGTTGATAAGATAGCATTTGCGAGGAATAGTTGACAAAATCTGTAAGTGCACAGTCACTTATGGTGCATCTGGCAGACGACCCAAAAAAAAAAAAAAATAGTCGCCCAGCTAATTCTTAAAGAGTACACTGGTAGAATGTCTTTCGAAATCGTTCTCTTCAGTTTGTGAAAACTCGCCTAGTACTTTACATTTTCTAACCCTTTATGTCCAATAGGCTTTCAGGCGTGGAAAAAGAGGCCTACTTTAATTCTGCTAAGTTTTAAGGAATATGATCTTACCGTGTTCAGCATTCTCGTCAAAATATGCTGGGCAACTGATGGTAGCCGTTTCTCCTGGCGCTGTTTCCTGGAAGCAACCAAAGCCATCCCATGTTCTTGGGCAGTATGTTGGATCGGCCTTAGAGATGCCATACCGCGTCTTATTCACACTCTGAGCTTGACTGGAACAGCACCTAGTAGAAACAATTCATCATTTGAAGACTGAGCGGACTGTGGTTTCCAGAGAATACAATGCGAGAAAGCATCAATGACTGGCTGACTGACTTTCTACCCCACCATTACATCACACAAGCGATAAACATCCGATGACACAAAGTGCCACAATATGGATGAGGATCACCGTGGAGAGGTCCCAGAAACCGCGTTTAGCCATTTAGCCATATTTATAGCCAGGCTATATTGCGGCCCCTGGCATGAGTCAGAGAAGGGCTTCAAATAACGAAAAATTGTATCCTAAAAAGGACGGCAAGATTTTACGCATGTAGCATCAATGAAAAAAGATGATGTTTTAAAAGACCTATGATATTCGTAAACGTGAATTGTTGACAGTTCGTTTTTTCTGTTTATTATGTCCTTAATGCATTATAATAATGTTGAGAATGGATAGAAACCGAGAAAATGCATGATAAAGAAACACGAAAAACAACATCTGCATTATGGAAAAGATAATTTAACAAAAAATCCCCACCCTTTTCTGGACGTTATATATTTTGTAATTAGTATGGCCGTGAGCGTGGTTGTATGTGTCTGTATATACCTCCGTGATTCTTTATATCCACTTATCTATTTATCTATGTACACACACGTAACATATACGTAAATACATACAAGCACTCATACACTCATACACGCTCATATATCCCGATAAGCAAAGCGGTCCCAAATCGCACGCAGTTATAATTGAACAGGGTATAACAGAAATACGGTCTTGGAATAAGAGACACTAATTTTTGGAGATTCACTGAAGCGGTCCCTGATTGCAGAGACAGTATATAACTGATGAAATGACTGATAGCACACATGACTAGTCACTGGTCATTTTTATTTACACTACTCTGGGTACATTTTCTGGAAAAAAAAAAAAAAACGATTGTAAGTAACAACCGGCGAGGGTAAATATTCTAGAGGCAGACAGCGACTAAATAAGAGAATGCTGGATGGGCTTCCCAAGCTGTTCGCATGGTGAACGTTTCTCATAAAACACCCCCCTACCTCACACCCTTCCATTGATGAGTGAGACACTTGTATCCATGAACCACATGACGGAACAATCAGAACTGAAGTTCTTCACAGAGTATAGCCAGGGATGATGCATTTCGAATTATTTACAATTCGGCTAACAGTAGATTACTCAGATACGCGGAAACTTCCGCGATCAACCGGTTAAAACCGGATCTCTGTAGACAGAAAGAAATGGTAGTTTCCTTAAGGTTACCTTGGTGAAACAGACAGTGTAGAATGAACTCGAAGAAATACGCCAGGCAATAAATTGTGCAGTCTATTGTTTGTGCCTTCTTTGTACAAATATTATTGTTTTTATCACTTATGTTTTTAAAATTTTGCTGTATAACCTTTTAAAATCTAGCACCATTGATGTAAATTTATATGTACATACATACACATACACCATACCACTTTTTCAATAACTATGTAATTCAATGCGTATCATCATCATCATCTTCAGCTCTCGTTACGCTTAGTGGCACTTGAGGCTTCAGAGAGGACTTTCCATGCTTTCCTGTCCTGTGCAATCTTCAGTGCAGTTTTCCACGTCAAAGATGCCACACTCAGGTCACTTACCATTGTTTGTCTTCATGTTGTTTTTGGGCGCCTTTTTCTTCTCTCTCTCTCTCTCTCTCTCTCTCTCTCTCTCTCTCTCCCCCTCTCTCTTTTTCCCTCTAGTATCCACGTGAGAGCTGTTTGGCAGGTATATCAGTATTCATTCTCATAACGTGGCCAATCATTTCCATCTCCTCTTGGTTATCACACTGTCTAGAGTTTCTTGGTTTGTTACTTGGAGTAGTTTAAGATTGTATCTGGCCAGACAATTTTGATAATTCTACGTAGACATGTGTGATGGAGGGTGGATAGCTTGTGTGCATCCTTTTTGGTCACTCTCCAGCATTAAATTTCATTGTTCTACAGTAACTGTTGGATTTCCAGATTTGCCTCATCCTTCCAAAAGCAGCTCTAGCTTTATTCAGGCGTGACTGTATGTCTTCCTCTGTCCCTCCCTGTAGGGACATCACACTGTCAAGATTTGTGAAATGTTCTACTTTTTTATGTGTTTGGTTATTTATGGTCACTGGTTCTTGGTCAGACTGTTTGTCTTATTCTTATTTTTTTTATTTTTTATTTTTTTATTTTTTATTTTTGTATTTATTTTCAGTCCCACCATTTCTGCTGCTGTTTAGTCTGTTACTTTTCTCTTGTATATGTTCATGTTTATGTGATAGGAGTGCTATATCATCTGCAAAATCATGGTCCTCAAGCATGAGGAATTGAGTCCATCGTATGCCTCTCGATGTATTGTCTGCTGTCTTATTTCGTATCCAATCAATCACAATGTTGAAGAGGAGGGATGAAATAACACATCCCTGTCTGACACCTGTCTTTACTGGGAAATATGTATTGTAATTATTTATACTACAGGAAAAGTCTTTATAGGAAAGAGTAATTATGTTTTATATGTTACTAAATAACCTAAATAGGTCTAGCAGCATATACCCTTGATCGTATCATGTTGTTTATATTTTACTCTGTAACTTACATATTATAGGCTGAAACGATGGCGGGGAAAAATATCATTTAGAAAGCGGTTCCAGGCAACCAGGGGTCGTGATCTGTGGAGACGCATGAGCGCCTCCGCCAGCTTGCAGGGCACATGATGATGATGATGATGTAACTTATATATGTCGGGCACCTAATACCCTTTGTTTTATCCCTTTTTATAATGCTTTATATAACGTCATGAGTGTGTCACCATATACCCTTTGACCTACTTATCGACTTGTGTACTTAAATATATCTTCTTCTTTGCCTTCGGTTACTTATCCTCAGGTCAGACTATCAGTTGGGTTGCCTCGATGAACTCGCATGTCGGCTAATGGCCACATAGTACCCCATTGCTTGCTCTACACTTTGCTCTTGAAGCCAGGTTTCTTTTCGAAGTTGCAGGCAGAGTTGGCAGGTCCGTAGAATGTGCTCAGGTTTTCTGTTGAGGATTGAGGATTGAACAACGGATCATCACCATAGCACACAGGTAGTAACCCATATGTACTCCGTTATACTTCTAACTCAAGTCTGAGTCTGAAGGTGTTCCGCTCAGTGCACGGGCTCCGTAGCACCGGCGAGGATCCTGAAATATCTTCTTGGGTACATTTTCAACTCCAAACATTGCCCTGGCTACTCTTTCCGATTTCCACCTGCCAATGGATTTTTTACTTTCGCAACAATATACACGGGCGTCCGATCTCACTACCCAGAGACCAGGGGATATTACTAGAATTCCACATTAAAAAGAATCCTAGTCTTCACCGGAGCCTTAACCCCGGCCCTCTAGCTTTCGAGGCAGACACCATGCCTCGAGACCACGCAGCCCATCAGGTGTTCTGTTGAGTCTGCTGATAAGGTCTTGTGTGTGTTCTCTCCATAATTTTTTTGTTTTATCCCTTGATAGGTGTTTTTATTTCTTGTAATGACAATGGATGGGTGTGTTGTTTCTCCTTTGTTGTAGTCTCCGCTAACTCATTTCCTGGTATGCCACAGAACGATTTGATTGTTTTCTGACAGTCTTTTTAGCTGGCGGGTGAGCTATCTGTCCATGTTGTCTCATGGATCCGTTTGAGTCGACAGAAGGACTGACATGCAGTCACACAGGAAAAAATGTTTTTTTTAAATTTTTTTTTAAATTTGTCAGTTTTCTTACCTCAAGCACTTTGGTTGCATCAATATTTGTTTGCTGCTCTGAAGTTTGTTGAGTTTCGTGAAGGTGCATAACGTTTCCACTCTGGTCCCGTTTAACGGAGTGATGACCGAACCACCTCCTCCTCACTTTTTTGCTACTTTCCCGATGATCCTCCCATATAACGTCTCTCCATTCGGGTTATGGGTGAGAGATGTAGACATGTTCAAGGGTTTTTACATGTTGTAGTTGTTCACATTCTTAAGCCTTTCTGCCTATGCCTTGGTTTGTTGTGACTGTAAAATTAGGCTGTAGGTCTGTGCTGTATGCCTGGGATCATTTCCCATGTTGAAGGATCTCAAGAAAGTGTGTCACTATTTGTCACGCAGAATAGTTTTAATAGATGGGGAAAGCTTTGACTGTTCTGTCGGTTTTAGTTGTTTGGTATTCTATGCATGGGGTTTTTGCCCATAAGTTAAAACAAAATATGTTGTTATGGTTAGAACCTTTTATTCCTTTGGATGGCTCAAGCTCTGGAGCCAGAATTTGCTTCCAGCTCATTAATTGGTTTACTTCTCGGTGATTTATCTGAGAACAGTGTATGTGTCTGTTTATACTTCTATCATTCGTTTTTGTCCAGTTTGTTTATATTTGATTTAGATGCTATGGAGTAATCTCCCATGTCATATTCCAGTTTTTAAGGTATGTATCCTATGTAGATATTGTCGTACGGTGTTAGCATCTTCACCCCAGCTTGTTCAGGTAAGTTTCTTCCTAGGCATGAGCCGAATGGTAGCTTTCCTTTGTATGTCTTCAATATGGGGGCCCCAGGTTATTGTCGAGTTTTACACCCATTTATGTGAAAATTGTCCTCTTTTGACTATTCCAATTTCTTTTAAGAAAAAAAAGAAAAAAAAATGCCTGCTGCTAGCATCTCAACGACACTGTTTTTTTTCGAAGAGTACTGATGCGATCCAGTTGACCCATTTCGTCTGTTCGTGCATATCCTAAATGTTCAGTTTGAGTCCATATGGCCAGGTCATCTGCATGTAGGGCTTTGTGAATAGGGATCGTAAACTGTTTGGGGTAGACATTGATGAAAAGAATAAACAGGGTAGTAAATACAACACCTTCCTAAGGGACACTTTCTTGTAATTTGACCAGCTTGCTCTTGTTTACTTCCAGTCTGACTCCAAAGAATGTCTCTAATCCTGGCAAAGGCGTGTCCGTTTATCCCGTGTTGTGCTAGTTTTAGCAAGAGTTCTTTCT